CTTGTTTGCGAGGAATGGGCTGGAACTGCTCACAAAAGGTTTGACAATCTGACCAGCAGAGCAGGCCTTTCAGGGGGCTCCATTTCACCACTTCATTGAGAGGGAAAAGGAAAAGAAAAAAGCACTAAAGAATTTCTGGTTAGAAATAGCCATCTTTGAGTTGAAAATGTTACTGGACACAGCAGAGGTACTGTGCAGCACAGCAAAGCTCCCTATGTGCTTTTCTATGTTAGGTTTGTGTTCTGTGAGGTATGTCTTTAATGAGGAAAGTGAATAAAATTACTTAAGCTTCATAATGTCTGAAAATAGGTAACTAACAAAAAATATATATCAGAATATAAATAAAAAATATATATCAGAAAAAATACACCGTAAATTCACCTGACTGTGTGGAAAATAGTAAAAAGCCTTATAGAAGTTAATTGGTATGTTCTTAGAATTTTTGGTTCTGTTTTTTTAGCATACAGAATATTTTGGATGGTAGTTAATAGTGCCAGTAAGTAGTGCCCAATTTTTTTTAATATAGCACTGCTGGCATCTCTGAAAACCAAGTACATGGATATAAATGTAAAATTATATTTACTGCTGTTTTAAAGTGATAATTAGCCTTAAGGTCTTCTGTCTGCTGAACAAGTGTTTAAGCAGCTAAAGTTCCCATGGCATTTGCTATTGGATGTGTGGGACCTCAAGCCTGTGTTAGCAGAGGATGGTGGGGAAGGAGATTGATTCTGTGTCTAGAGCCTAATTCTTCTCTTGTTTTTCCATGAAACCTCCTCAGTGGCTTTCTGTTCATTTGTGAGTGACTGGTTGTTTTGACACAGGTTCTTCACTAGAAGTTGTAGAGATTTTTCTACATTATCTGCACTCTGCTTCATTGTGGGAAGATTCCCTTCTCCCAGTTGTAGCTTTTGGTCCTTGTCTCCACAGTTCTTCAAGCTCTTGATCCAAACAAGGTTGGGTGTTTGGTTTTGGCTTTTTTTGGATCCAAGAGTGATTGAGGAGCAGTGGAGTTAGCACAGTCTGTCTCCTAGATTTTGTAAGCCACCCAAATCCCCTTTTAAATATAGTTATTAGTTACAGTTTGTATTTTGTAAATATTTTCTTTGCAATGATTTATGGCTCTTAACCTCCTCAGTATGATTCACAACGCTTTGGACCGCCTGCTTCCTGGGAGAGAGAATGGGGGGTTGGTTTTTGTTTGTCTGGAACTTGGATCTGAAGTGGTTCCAGTTCTAGAAGCAAGTGGGAGATGGAAACAGAATGTGCTGGGTATTAATAATCTCTGTGTTGGTGTGTTGCACCAGTGCTTGTCTGCCTCGCCGGGGAGGCATCCCTCTGTCTAGCCGCACAGATGAGATCTGCTTGGAGCTCAGGTGGTGCTGGAGCCCCTGCCTCCCTGCTGCTGAGGGGAAATCCTCAGCAATTGCTTGTTCACCTGCATTAGGATAGAGACCAGTTGAGAGGTGGGAAGGTAGTTGCAGAGCTGCCCCCAAACCTTTTGGAACACTCTCATGTTTCCAGATGTCCTCCTCCCCTTTTACATGTCTATGTGCACAAGTATAATCTGTGCTTTTCTTTGCAGCTGCCCCTTCTTGCTTAGGGTTTCCTTACTGCTGGCAGGTGTAAGAGAGAAGCTGACCTAGGGACACAGGCCGCAAGGAGTTAAACGTGAAGCACATGCTTTGCTGTCCCGAGCTCTGATGTGCTTCTCAGTGACCTTGAGCAGAGCTCAAAGCGTTCCTGTTCAGGCATGAATGGCATTATCACCTGCATCAGTGCATGCTACACAGGCTGTGCTGAGGAGGTGCAGTGAATCCAGTACTGTTCCTAAGTGTGAGACCTTTGCTGCAGCATGTTTGTGTTGCCTGATGAGAGACATTGGGACCTAGGGAATGTGTGTTAGTGCCCTTCTGAGCTGGCTCTCTAGAGAAGGGGGAGGTCTCTTTCTTCACTGGGAAGCACTGACACAAGGCCAGAAGGAGCTTGAATGCCCTGTGGGGAAGCAGTCAAGGTGGGGAGTGAGCACTTGGTGAAATGAGGGCTTTCATCATCTGGTTTGGTCAGGGTAGCACAGCTGCCAGGCTCTGTTGTGTGGTGCCTGAGAACAGGCTCCAGGCCCTTCCTTTCATCTCCTTCCTAATGAATTAAGCCAAGGAATAACTGTAAAAGGAAAAAAAAAAAGATCTGAAGAGACTGTTTTTTTCATTTACGTTGTAGTTGAATGTGTAGCAGTGGACAAATGTACTGAGCTAATGTTACAGTGGTGGAAAGTTCAAATCTTACCTTAGGGCCATGGATGATAGAGATGAGGGAGCTGCAGCATAGAGAAGAAGATATTTAATTTTATACTACTACTGAAAAATTAGGCTATGTGAAAGCATGAAAAGCATTTGGAGTCTCTCAGTGGAGTTAAAAATGTAAGAGTGGACCAAGATCCCTTTTTCCTTCTATCATTTCTTCTCTTGGAAGCATTTGTCTCACTGTGCACGTCTCACGTGCTGCAGAAAGACTCCTGTGTGGCAGCAGCTCTCTGCCATATGCAGGAACAGCTGTGAGTGCTTTTGAGCAGGCCACTGTACATGATACATTGCACCCTTGGTAAGAAAGGAGTTCTGCCCTCTGCCTGGGAGCAAATGGATGGGAGAGGAGTGCATACAACATTCTGGCTTCCTCCCCTCTGGAAACACCAGATCCACTCCTGTGCAACCTATATTTTAATGTAGCTGTCCCTTTTAGCAGGAGTATTGGTGATTTTTGGGAGTTACTTTGGAGTACTTACTTGCAGGTGTTGTATGCAGTGGTGATAGATAAGCTACTCCTGTGTTTTGTCCTTCTTGGACAAATTTGCCCTGAGGAGCAGAGGACTCTGATGGAAGCATAAAAATAAAACCACTAAGTAGCTTGGTGTGATTTAATTGCAAGCCAGCTGCATTGATTCCTCCCCTAGGGTGTACTCTCTATGAGTTTGGAGAGCCTTTTTGTCATAGAGGTGAGGGAAGGAGAAGAGGTCGAACATGCGGGGGGACAGCTTTTGGATAAGATCAAAAGGAAGTTTCTGAAATTTTTCTCCAAAATTTGCTGTTTGGGGGATGATTGAGTCTTAGACAAATAAAAAGGCCTCATTCTACAAGGCTTCTCCTGAGACTTGCACAGCTATGGGAAGTAGACATATTTGTCAGGGCAGTATTGTCATTCTTCCTATCAGAGATAATTTATGTTAACCAGATCAAACATGTTTTGTGCTGCATGCACAGCTCTACTGAAATGAAATGGAAAGCTGCCACTGCTCTGCTCAGCATGACAAGACCCCAGTGCTCACTGTTTGCTTGCTCTTGTCTTTGTATATACGCTTGCTTTGTAGTCAATATACGAGTTCAAGGTCATATCTTTAAGTGGTATTTCTAGGCAGAAGATAATTTCTTAGTGTTGCCAATTGAGTTTGTCTGTGAAGAGATGTTTCCAAATGTTTGTGAAGTGTTGTATACTGAATTATGTGCAGAGCAACCTATCAAGTTCAGTCAGTGGTTGGGGAATTGGTGTGGGCAGCTCCCCTCAGATTTCTTTCATCTTTGGTACACAAATTGCATATTTAAAACAGGAGGAAAGAAGGACCCAAACTAGCAAAACCCTCAGCCCTTATATCTTTAAGGCCCACATGTTTTCTTGAAAGTGCCTTAAGAAGACTGACTCTTAGCAATTACAGTCCTTGCCTTATTGTAGGACTTCTTTTTACTTGATGGGTTAAGGAGGAAGTCAGGTTGGCATCTAAAGAGTTGAAATGACACTTTAAAGTGCATCACACGGGTAGTCAAAGCTTAACTCCTGGGAGTCTGAGGCAAGCAGCAGGAGACAGAGTGAGTGGGTGGGTGCTCTTTGAATACCTTGGCCTGTCAGTGAATGCAATTGGAAAGGGACAAGAGCAATAAAACCGACTAAATTGTAGTCTGCTTTGTTCTGTGGCCCTGAGGTTTTGAGGTCATCTTTCTGACTAAAGTGTGAAAAATGCTATTTTCTCATCAAGCCTTTCTCATTTTGCAAAGGGGCCTTGCCTTTATATTTGGTGCTGTGCTCAAATTTTAGCACTTTTCAGTCTAAGCTCACACAAGCAGCTGAGGTTCTGTTCCCTACTTTTCTTCTGCCAGTAATCTCTGTGCAGGCATTAGGACTCTCATCTGGCACACAGATCTCCCTTATCCCTCTGCCTGCTTCTTGTACTTTTTCTGTGAACAAATACCCCGGTGTACCCCTTCACCTCTCTTTGCCATGCCAGTCAGCACTTGAGAACAGTGGAACAAATTGCCTTTCTTAGCTATGGAATTGGTAGCAAAAGGCAGGACTTGGAGTTTTTTCTAAATCTTGCAGTGGTGATGACTGTTTCCTGTTCCTGGGCTCACTTAAATGTATGTAAAAAGTTAATCAGAGACATCCGTAAGCTGTTCCTATATGGATTTTACCATTTAATTATAGATCTTCTTTTAGGGTAATGTTTCTCTGAAGGGAGCTTGACAGAGCAGATGCCGTTTTGCCTCAGGATGCACTTCTGGTATTGGCCCAGTGAAGAGCTGCCACTTCAGCTGTGGGATTTTGATGATTGCATGAACATCCTGCCACATGAGATTAGAGTGGCGGTGCTACCTCCCAGCTCCAGGATATGAGAGATCCGTCTCTTCATTAGAGCTTTCATATGGTAGCAGCTGAAGTGAGGAAGAATGGTCTAAAAGAGAGAAGCAATTAAAGAAAACCAAAGACAAATCTACTAAGCTGGAAGGTGATAGGAGGGGAGGGAGGCTGAGATCTCATTAGTGTTTACTCATGGAAAGGGAGGGGAAGAACAACAGATCGATTGTTAAGTGCTACTGGGTTTATCAAAATAATTGCCAGGTGCTAGATGGCTCCATTGCAAGTGCAGTGCTGATACCTAAGAAGGGGCAGACAAGACACGTGAAAGGAAATTGTGTGATTTCTGCTCATGTGCACACTTTTGTCTTTTCTGATTTCAGCAGACAGAAGGAGGGGCACAGACAGATGGACAGCAATCACAGACACAGAGCAGTGAGAATACTGAGAGCAAATCCACTCCAAAACGACTTCATGTGTCTAACATTCCCTTCCGCTTTCGAGATCCTGACCTTCGGCAGATGTTTGGGGTAAGTTATGAGCACCTCTTCAGGCATGGCAGATTCTCCTCCTCCAAAGGTGGGACACCTGGTGCTGTGTATTTGTGTGAATGAAAAGCCCTTCCCCCTCAGTTTAAGTCAGCACATGTAATATATTTGCAGGAGTAGAACAATTGGTAGTGTTTAACTTAGCTAGTTAATACACATGAGAACTATAACAATGGTCTTCCTATTAAGATGTTCATAGAATCATAAAATGGTTTGGGTTGGAAGGGACCTGAAAGATCATTCAGTTCAAACACCTCTGCCATGGACTGGTACATCTTTCACTAGGTGTGCTTAAAGCTCAATCCAGCCTGGCTATGAACACCTCCAGGGATGGGGCATACACCACTGCTTGGGGCAACCCACAGCTTCTCTGAGCACCAATGTTCAGTGTAATCTAACAATTGGTTTGGGAAAAAAAAACAAAACAAAATGAAACCTTACCTTATTTCTGAGTAAAGGCCAGGATTAAACACTGACTTGCAAAGCACTGTTTTTCAGTTGCATTAGAAGCATGTTGAAGTATTTCTTTCCTCGTGATCTATTTCTGTGGTGAAAGATGGCTGCAAACAATTTGCCAAGCAGTGATTGCATGTGGAAAAGCTAGTGCAAGTCAGATGGTATTTTATATTGTGTATCATATACCTTCCATTGCTTTTGACCACATAGTCTTTCCTAATCCTTGGATGCTATTCATGATTCTTGATTTATAATCTCTTTGAGGAAGAATGTGTTTATGTGAGTACACATGGTGACTCTGTCCATGTGAACATGGATAAACGAGCTAGATATCTCATGACCTAACGTTCAGGTGAAGTTATGTGTATGTTATATCATCATCAGGGAGTATTTGACTTGTTGATATAATATGATCCTGGGTTGACAGCATGTTTTAAAGTCTTCAGAAATATTTATTATTATTTATGAAGTTAACAGCTGCTGCCTTTTTGAGGTGCAGTCCAATGAATCGAAGTCAGGAAAGCCCAAAGCTCTTGTCACTTTAGGCTTGGAGTGTATACCTTGGTCCTCACTTATAGCAGCTGCTTCTCCAAATTCTGCAGTATTTCTGTTTCAGTTGTTGCATCTCCTGAGCCATCTCAGGTGTGGGTGTGTATGCATGCACAAAGGTGCACTCTCACATGCAGAGTAGTGTTGCAGTATTGTAAATGTGTCTAATTCATGGACTTCAATGCTGTAAATGAGAGAAGAATTTGGCTTATCTGTCTGTAGCTCAGACAGTACAAAAGGAACAAAACAGTGGCCAAAATGCAGAAAGGCAAGGCTGCTATTCAGAGGGACCTGGCCAGGCTGAAGAAATGGGCTGAGGGAAGTGTTAATGTACTCAACAAGAGTGAATTTTCAGGCCTTTCATCATATTCAACTTTCCATCAACCAGGCTCCTCAGTCCCTTTCTGCAGCACTGTTCTCTGGCATCTCATTCTCCAATCTGTCAGGACATCCAAGGTTGCCCCATGCCAGGTGCAGAATCTGGCACTTGTCCTTGTTAAATTTCATATGGTTGGTGATTGCCCAGCCCTCTAATTTGTCTAGGTCTCTTTCCAGGGCCTCTCTGCCTTTGATTTATCAATTAGATACCGGGAAAATGTTAGGTTTTTTGTGAGGATGCTGAAATAGTGGAACACATTGCCCATATGGGTTGTGGAACCTCCATCCTTGACACTATCCGACTTGACTGGACACAACCCGGCCAAAAAGATCTCATTATACCTGCTGTGAGCAGGGGATGCACCAAATGACCTCTGGAGTCAATTCCCAGCCAAAACCATGGATCTGTGATTCTGTTGCAAGAGGTCTGGGTTTGCTTCCATGTTGTTCATACCTTAGATTATTGTTATACTCTTGATGCCTGTGGGAATGTTTTCAGAATTAAATTCATCTGGCAGTCTGTGATTGCTGAATCTTCTGCTCTGCTTTGTGGTTTTTCCAGCCTGCTTCTTGCTGTTGCAGGGCTGCACAGCAGGCAGTTCTGTCCTGTTTGGACAAATGCTTGCTGAAATCACAGCCAGTTCTTGGACCACCTGCTCCAGTCCGTATTTATCACGTCCTCCTCTGTGCTACGGCTGCTCCCCTCTCCTGGGAGCTGCGTCGCTTACATAAAGTGTTCCCCATTGCTGTCCCTTCTCCTGGGACTGGTGCTTAATTGACAGCTAGCCCTTTTCACACTTGTTCACCTTGATGCTTTTCTGCCATGTGCTCCTGGTGTGGGAGACATGGGTGAGATAGAATTACGAGGACATCCCTGTCTTGGTGACTTTTGCCTATGCTTTGCAGGTTGGGACACCTAGGCAGTTTAGATTAACTGCTGTCCTAAGAAGTGACTTGTAGAAAATGCACTCTTAACTACTTGGTTTAAGATTTCTTCTCCTTTCTTGGGCCTACATGGTGCCTTTTTGTGCATAGGAGGGATGGGGAATAATGCTATATGAATTGGTTTCTGGTGTTCCTCTGGTGTTTATTTTTTCTCTAAATATGATCTCAAGTTCCAGCACATTGATGTGATTTTAACTGGGTAAATGATATATTCCTTGTAAAACCTTTTGGTAGTTCACCTGGCCCTGTGGTTGCTGAGAGTTATGCCTGCCAGCAAAGTGTTCATCTTCTGGGACACATGACACCCCATGTGCCATTTTTCTGTAATAGAGAACTTTGCTACTTTGCCAAGGAAATAATGAATGATTCTTGCACATCTTCCTTTTTCTTTCAGTGCTGCCTCTCTCAGCGTGCTCATAGCCTCGAGCAGGAGAGCGTGCTCTCTGAATCCTGCTTGCTCCTATTTCTTTTTCAGGATCAGGATGCTTTCCTTTGGGTGACTCACTGAAACCTACCCTTACTCCTAAAGGGGACTCATGGTTGTCTGAGTCTTCAGCTGTGACTAGCCTGTAACCCCCATCTTCTCCCTCTCCCTTCTGTGTGTCAGGTCACATCTCCTCAACGTCATATCTGAGAGACTCAAAATCCTTGCCTGGAGTGATTCTCCCAAGCTACTGTACAAAGAGAGAAATTGGGTAGACAGTAAAGCCATGGAGGAAGAAATAAATGTGATGGTAGGGAGGGAGTAAAGAAGTCCCCTCAAGGATGGAACAGCATGCGAGAGGTCAGCCCAGTCCTGGGGCACAGAAAATATCTAATGCTTTTGTCCAGACTTGAGTAGAGATGGACTTGAGACATGTTGTCCCATGTGTGATTAAATGCATATTACATAACGCTTTCTAAACCTGCACCATTTGGCAGAACTGCACTCGTAAGGATTTCTTAACAAATTTAAACTATTTGGGTTCTGATGGTCTCTCAGCCATAATGTTTTTCTAACAGGTCCTTGAGATATCCTCAGGAAAAGACCAAACATTTCCTTTATATATATGCATCTTACAGGGAGGCAAATAATATGTCTGCTTAAAACAGGTAATATTTACTTTACATTTCATGAGGCCAACGAAAAGACTTCCAGAAAGCTTCTAGAAGGAGTTGGCAGTGTTTTAATGCACACAGTTCTGCACCCACTATGGAATAAATCAATAATTGACCTTGTTCTTGCAGATAAAGAAGAGTTAATAGCTGACCTGAAGTCCCACCGTTGCCTAGGTACCAGTGATTGTTATTTGTCTGTATTTGCTTTGTGCAGACAGAATATGGCATCAGGCAGCACTGTAAGGAGCTTTAGAATAGTCTGTTTCTTGGAGTTTAAACAATTGGCAGGATAACTGCCCAGGAAGGTATTTTTAAAAGGGAAGTATTAATGGAAGCCATAAAGTATTCAGCAGCATCATACTGATGGCCAGGAAGGCATGACTCCACAGTTGGTGAAACTGTGGTAATAAAACTCAAAGCATTCCGCACCTTAGGCAAGGAGGAGGAAGTAAATAGCAGTGAATATAGGTGCAAACTTCAGCAAAGAAACAGGTGGGAAATGAAATGTGCTAGTCATGGAGATACCGGTGAGCTAAGTTTAGAGAACCCATCAGGCTTTTTACATGCAAAGATAAAAGGTCTGTGTATGGGTACAGTATACAATCAGGAGGTAGTTGTGTATTTTTGGGGAACAACCCCACAAACAACAGCAAAACAAAACATCAAACAGGGCAAAACCAACCCCCAACTGATTGTGTTTAGAATTTAAGAGGGGTTATTTTTACCTCATCTGGTTTTCTACATAATTAATAACAGAGAAGGATGAGACAGTACTCACTAATATTTAAAAAACAGCAGATCTAGATAAGGTATGTCCAACAATAATAGCCAAAGCAAGGAGCTCATTATTCATCAATACCAATTTTTTAAGCCAATTCTTGTGAGCTAAAGGAGTTGCAAAAGGATGGAACACGCCCACCAAGATTCACTATTGTAAAAAACCTGAAAGGGATGACCCAAAGAGCTGAGAACTATTTATCTGTATGTTGATTCAAGATAAAAATAATTTTGGAACATTTTAGAGAAGCCTATTAGAATCTGAAAGAAACATGCTGGTATCTATTTAGCAGAACTTTGTAATATACATCTTTGCAGATGTATATGCTGTCTTGTCTATTTTGACAAGATTGTACAAAGCAGTACTGATAGAGTGAAACATTGCTCAACCAATTGAATTTCTCCAAGTGACCAATTTTTAAGAAAAATAATACTTATCTCAAGCACAACACACATTAGAGGGATTAAAAACCTCTAATGATAGATAATAAAAAGTAGTGGTTACTTGGGAGATAGCTGTGATCAAGACTGTTTCTATTGTCAATTTCCCCAGGGATCTGTTTCCATCGCTGTCTTGTTTAGTATCTGTATCAGCCCATGGAGATGGTACTATTAAAACCTTGCCAGTAAGGTTTGCAGTTAGAAAACGATTTGAGGAGGAGGAAAGAGACAGATAAAGTTACTGTTAGAGAATGAGTAGATATGCCTGGTTGACTGATGATAAATCCAACAAAAATGTGTTTGATGCAGCTCATTGCAGAGTACTGAGTACGTGGGAA